TGTGAAGCGTCGAGAGGTTGTAGAAATCGCGGAGCGTTCTACATGCATCAATAGCGCGCGTAGCCGATCGAATCTTGGCTTGGTGCTGGATCTCAACCCCTTGAGCGATGATGCCTAGCGCCTTGGCGTCGATTATCAGCCATGCTTCTGCTACGTCACTCTCATCCTTGAATGCCATGACATGTACTTGGAGAACCTTCCTTGCCAGGGTCATCCTCATGTTGTATTCCCAGTGGTCATACTTACCAATTCCCCGGAGGACTTCGGTTCGCTTGTTCGCCAAAGTAGGCGAGGACTTGGTTTGGAAGGAAGGCTTGGTTGCGGCTGTTAACCTGTTACAAAGAAGGTAAAAACGAAGTGAATAGATTGAAGGTTCATAGTTCACTACCCTTAGCTAAGTCTAAGCCTTAATGTAACGACATCCTGTGATCTCATCATGTAAACGCGATCCATAATCTTCTTCCGTAACCAACACCATGAAATACCCTGACACAGAAATCATCACCATGAACCCAACATAAAACGACTGCATGGAGCGGCGTAATCTCAACAACATATCAAAGGAGAAGGTGGTATAGGCTAAATACATAATCGAATTGATGGATTGCTCAAGCCCTTTTGAAGAGGCTTAAATGTAAAGAAGAGACACCCTTTGATGATCAACCAGATGTTTATGATCATTTAAGCAATAACAAACGATGTAACAAGAACCACAAGGACCGAAAGCTCTAATGGATCAGAAAAAGTTATGGAACAAGATCAACCAGTACAGCAAAAGCCTAGAGAGACTCCGAATGAGGGTTTTGATAAACAACGGAATCAAAAAGATGCAGCTAGAGTGCAAGATCCTTTTCAATTCGGTAAGGCCATTAAATTGATTACCTAGAGCAGTAGGTCAAGGTTAATACTACGGACTTCGATATCCTAACGTATAACGATGCTTGCACGATTAAAGTGCCACCCTTAGGTGCGCTTGTCTTATTTAACAGTAGGTCTAGAAGAGCAAGACCGATTCAAATCGAGACATAAAGCAATGTAAGGCTAGTCTAGTTGTCTGCGGAAACGAGAAGTGCTGATTTTTGACTATACGCGTACGTTTGCCGCCGTCATGGGGTTAGGGGTGGATAAGCTGATCCTGGTGTTCTTTAGAAGATAGAATGCACCGGCTCGACATGGCGATGTACCGAATGCGTAAATTAAGGACACAATAGAGAAGTAGCTGAACACCTACATAAGGTCCCGAAAAATGTGTTTTGGATGACAAGGAGTCCAAAAATTTTAAGTAGAAACTCCGGATAGCTTGACACTTATGATTAAAGTCAATCCATGTTCTGAAATAGTTAATTCGATTGTGAAGTAAATTTCTTGACTACTTTGCGCCTTAGGGTGGATTTTAGCCTTGCACGACGGGTATGTGTATGCACTACAAGTATCAATGCGAGGTGTGCACGGTGGTTGGTGTCCACGATGATGACATGTAGGCTGCAGGCACTGAGCAGAGCACTTCCTTTTTTAAATAAATTCGCTGTTAATTGAGAACTTGGAGATTGTGCACGATTTCAAAAAGCACTTAATCGATCTGAAGGAGTCGTATAGAAAATTTAAATCAAGAAATCACGATCTATTTTGCTGAAGCAGTTTGACATGAAATTAGCTAATGGGACTCAAATCTCAGCTAAAGAAAAGTGCGAGACGGACGACAAAGACAACCCGTACTACCCTTTTGCAAGAGGTGCATAAGGTGAGCCATTTGTGAAGTCATTTCAGTCACTAATGGAAAGCCCACAATTAATTGCAAGATGCTAGCGTCCACAGATTTGTTTCGCTGTGCTAATCACAAGGTCTCGAGACGGACACTCAAGCAGACAAATAAGAATTGTAAGACCGCAAAGCGAATAGTACAGTACTTGAAGATGTCGAAGAGTTCACGTAATCACCGAAATGTTTGGAAACGATATCGTGGTATGCCGGTTCGAATGTTGGAGTATTGCTGGTTTCGTTGCTCTACGGTTGTGCAAGAAGCAAAGGGAGTATTGCTGAGTACGGAGAAGGCCTGTTTTGTATCCTCGTTGCAAGCTGGTCTTAGAGTATCGGGCACAAAGATATGGTATCTAATCTAAGTTGCGCGAGCGCGAGTCTATGCCGATATGGATCTACAACTAAGCCGCCATCAAGCAACTCAAGTATGGGAAGAGCACGTAGAGCCCAAGCACGAAGACTTTACGTGGTACGTTTATTTGCTATCATGTACAAGAAGGGATTGTGCTACCAGGGTTCGTGAAGTTTCAGGCAATTATGATCTTCATTATGTCGAAGGCACAGCCGGCTTGTTCATGTAGAAGGGCGCAAAGGATGAGCCAAGGAAGATTTTCAAAAATGACATTTGACGTGCTTTTACGCTTCAATGTTCGAGTGCAATAAAAAAGGGACGGTCTCACCAGATTATCTGGTTGGCTCTACCATTACGACTAGCTCGCCTTTATGGACGGCTGTACCTACTTTATACAGTGCTAGTCCTGCTACCTGGACGCCGCGTTTGGGTTGCAGTCTGTTCTACTGGCTCAACTCGTCAGCGCATTTCATTCCACGCCTGCACCAACATTTAGGTCTTTCCATGGCTAAGTTTTTCCTGTAATGTTGGTAATACCTTGTGGTCCAGGGCAATTCCGTCCTCCTGCACTACTTTTGATTTGCTTCTCTTCTCCTACCCCGCGGGTGGGTCCTTGATCCACGTACTCGCCAGTTACGTAGTCGCGTCTTTAGCTCGGTGGACGGCACACTGGCAACGAGACCTCAGCGGCTCCCCCGTTGCTCCGGTACAGTCCACCCTTATTTCTCCAATCCGTATGTCGACCTAGGCCAAGAGTGATAAGATCGGCCGACTCATCTTCCTCACCTCCAGGAAATAGGTGTTTGTTCGTTTGGCAGGCGTAGGCCATGACCGCGCAATTAAACTACAGTCTTCTGTACTGACGTAAGCGCCGCCCTTGGTCGTCCCTCTCCACCATCTCAACGTGTACGTGGCATTTAAGGATACTAAGTGGGCATATCTCCCGTGGTATTAGCACAAGACGCCCCACCCGGATCGATCGGGACGCGAAACCCTAGTCCCATGTCGGTCCGCTGCAATGTCAGCCGTCGCTGGCGGAAGCAGCTCTCTCACCCTTAATATCCTACCGAACAGGTCTCGGGTTAACACATTTGCGCCTCGTGAGCGTTTAGGCATAAGCTCAGAAAGCGCCTTCTTCCACAGCCGTATTTCTCTTTCTGTGCACCCTCCATTCTAACAGTGATGTTGTCCGGGATCCATCATCGAGATCGTCCGCCGAGTATCTACTGGTCACGGTACCGTCTCGATCACCAGGTGTGATCGATCAACCATTGCCGGGTGCCGGTCTGGAGTTAATCGTGTTGCTAACTGCCTATGGCCTTAAGAGATCCTGTGGCGCTTTCTCGTCCGCCGACCTTTAATCGTCGTCTTCGTTACTGTTAGCTTCGTTCTCGTCGGTGCTTTCTTCCTGCACGTCTTATTCCCGTCGAATTCTTAGACGTCGCCTTCGTCGTCGCTGTCGTCGTTGCCATGTCCCGTCAAATTGTCCCCGGTTGCAGGTGGCCATTTGGGTGCCCCCTTCACGAAACAACAACTACCCTTGTGTTTTTTTAAAGTAGTTTTCTTTCGGGACACCTTTCTCAGATCCAGTCTGTCCCTCCATTTCTTGGCTTTTTTTTGGACACTGCTTGCATCTCGAACTGGTCCAAGTTCGGTCGGGTGATTCCTGGCGCGCGGTCATCTGGTCCTACCATCTACGCTTCTTCATGCCGGTGAGCGTCGTCTAGCCCGCAGCTATCCTGGCCAGCGCCTGCTGGAACGCTGACATGCGCTCCGCTTGTGGCGTCGTCGATTACCTGTCATGCTTCATAGTCCCGCTGCTGGCAGACCCTCCGAGTCTTCTACGGCTGCGGCTGGGATCTTCGCCTGCGATTTGTATGATGAGCTTTCCATCCCTCGTTCGTTGGTGAAGTTCTTTTCTCTACTGATGTGTTTGTTGGCCTTTGCTGTGGCGACATATCTCGTTGTCTCTGTAATTATTGACCCGGCCTAGTTTTAATCTCTTTCTTTAGATTTTAGCCTAATTTACTCTCTCCTTACTCTATCCAGCACACTGAAATCTCCATCACCCGATTTGTTGGTTTTTCGACGATTCGACAGATGCGACAAGGAGAGACAACCGACAACTTGACTGGTGGGACGACAAGGCAATACAGCTGCAATGTAGGACCACCGTCCTTACATAGCCAAGTCGTGTTGAAAAGTGTATTACTTATGGGTCGGTTAGTCGCTTCATGCTACGTACGTACATGCATGAGAGGTGTGCTGGGGTGGTCAAAGTAACGGCTAACGACTTAAGGCCTGTCGTGTTTTAGCTTCGGTCAGCTTTGGCTGGAGGAAACCGCTTAGGTGAACATGAGTATCGAGAGGCAAGGCAGAAAACATTAGGGCAAGAGATAGCGTCAGAATCCTTTTAATTCAGTACCACAGACTTCTTCTCTGACGCTAGCACGATTGCTAGCGAATTAGTCGTAGTGCCATTGAATGCATGTTCTAGTGTTGATATATGTTTCTCTTATATTTCAACAACATTTGCACAAGTGCAACAACTACAAACATAAACTCGTACTCGTTCCTGGGCATGAATAGATGCTACCTCACACGCTAATTGACTTTCAATTGCATCGTCGTACCGATAAAATTTTGGCATACATGTTTATGCAACGAAGACTTAGCGTTAGACGCATCACAAAACACATTGGTGGCCCACAACGTGATCTACCACAATTTTTGATAAAGATTGCACCCTGTATTTTTGGATACTACTACGACATTTAGCCTTCTTGATACACTATTCCCATGCGAAAAGATTTAAGTCGACTAAAACGCTAATAACATTTTTTTCTGAAAGTCTCTGATGTGACTGTACATTAGGTGTTCGTTACTGTGCTTACACCAAGATTAATCGAATGTTGTCCGGGTTCAACATCGTGAGCGTCCGTTGGATGTCCGCAGGCCACGGTACCGCCTCGCCCACAGGGACGTGGTCGATCAGCCATTGGCGCGTGACACTCTCGGCTTGGTTGTCCTGCTGTTCCGCCGTCGGCCCGGGCGTCTCCGTCGCGGTTTCTCTACCGCTCACCCCTCCTCCGTCGTCCTCCTCGATGTGTTCGTTGCTTCCTTCTTCGTCTTCGCCGTCGCCGTCGTCTTGCGCGTCTTCGCCTCCGCCATAGTCGTAGTCGCGGTCTCCGTCATCTCCTTTTGCGTCGCTGCCGTCTTCGGCTTCCTCCGTCAATTTGACCGGGGCTGCTGGTGGCCATTTGGGTCCGCCTATCACGAAGCACCCACTTCGCTTCGGCTTCTTCAGCCGGCATCTCTTCCGCGACACCCGTCTCAGCCCCAGCCGGTCTTTGCCTTTCTTCGCCCGCTTCTGGAACACGGCACGCGTCTCGAACTGGTCCAAGTCCGGTCAGGGATCCTTCTTGCGTGCGGCCTTCAGCTCCTGCTTCCTGCGCCGTTTCATTCCGGCGAGCGTCTCCTGACCAGCCGCTATCCTGGCCAACAACTGCTGGGTCGCGGTTAACTGCTCCTCGGGTGGCGTCGCCGGTCCGCCGCCTTGATCTGTGACCGTTGCTGTCGACTGGCGCTCTGCGTCCTCTCCGCCTGTGGCGGGTCTCGCCGCCTGCGGGATATCTGCCGCGGGTGTCATCTCTTGATTTTCGGTCGTTTCTTCTACTTCCTGTTGTGTCTTGATTGGCTGTGGTTGGCGGGGTCGGGTATCTCGTTTTCTCTATAATTCTTGGCCCGGCCTAGTTTTCAATCTCTTTATTAAGGTTTTAGCCTAGATTACTCTTTCTACTCTAACTAGCATAATGAAATTTTTTTCACCAAGATTAATCGTCGTTTCTGTGAAATTTCCAGTTTATTTCTGAAAGATAATGTTCTTAAAGGATACTTTAGAAGGCTTACGAAAACGTTTCCCCACCTTCAGCATGCTTAGAAGAACTGCGGCCTTTTACGATGACGATAGTGGACGTTGCGAGCCGTACTCATATCATACGCATGCACCTTTTTTTCTTCTATAGTGCATCAGCGTCGACATAGTTGACGAGAACTAGGTAGGTTATTTCAAAAATCGATATCGTCAAAGCCCGTATATAAGGTAATTCATGACATCGAGGCAACAGAGGCAAAGCAAAATCGACACCTAAAGCGGCGTCATACGGGCAAGTGCATTTGCGACTGTACTACTACGAAATATGTGCTTTCTCACAACTACAGCCCTATACTACTGGAGCGGCGAAGCCATGCTCACACCCTGGACCTAGAATGACATTCATACAAAAAGACATGTAGGGTACCACCACGCTATGGCTCGATCGCAGCACACATCCAGGTGCTGCATATAGCGTACAATATACTACAGTGCATCTCGTGTCAGCGTGCAACAGTCGTGTGTTCCTCTCGTCCGACGTGCCCGCCCACACGACTCATCATCGAAACCCACCAGTCCCACCCACACCCGTCACAGTTGTGACGACCGAGCTCAACATGCCCCACTATACTAAATCATAGAGGTAATCCAACTTCGCAACCAAACCTCCGTCCCAAAGTCTCGCCAGCCTCAAGTAAGTACGAAATCCTCGATCGTCCCAGCGATTCACCGGTCCTCGCGTGCTTCTCGTCACACACAGACCCCTCAGAATTCGACTGGTTTTCCGCCGTCCTTCACTTTGCATTTTGCCTCCCCCGCCACGCATCACGCCCGCGGTTCTTTCTACTACCGACCAACCGTCTCCTCCCCCACATCCCATGTCCGGCACACGCATCTATGTGGGCAACTTGCCCATGGACGTCCGTACGCGCGAAGTCGAAGACATTTTCTACAAATACGGCCGCATCCGGGACATTGACGTCAAGTTCCCCTCGCGTCCGCCCGCGTTTGCGTTCGTCGACTTTGAAGACGCTCGAGACGCTGAAGACGCGATCCGTGGCCGCGATGGCTACGACTACGACGGGGCGCGGCTGCGGGTCGAACCCGCCAACGGTGGGCGGCGCGAATCGGGTCGAGACCGGCCCCCGAATCAATCGTCGACCCGGTACCCGCGCAACATTCGCGGGTCGGGCGACTTTACCGTCACGATCTCGAACCTCCCGCCGCGCGTGTCGTGGCAGGACCTCAAGGACTTTATGCGGAAGGCGGGGGACGTGGTGTTTACGGAAGTGGACGGACGGGGCGGCGGCATTGTCGAGTACAGCAACAAGCGCGACATGAAGTACGCGGTCGAGAAGCTGGACGACACGGAGTTTCGCGGCCGGAGTGAGAATTCGTACGTGCGCGTGCGCATGAAGAGCAGTCGGGGCGGCCGTAGCCGTAGTCGCAGTCACTCGCGGAGTCGCAGCAAGTCCCCGCGACGTGCGAGCAAGAAACGAAGTCGTAGTCGCAGTAGTGAGGAGAGGAGCCGCGACGACGGACGGTCGACGAAGGACCGACGCAGTCGGTCGATCGATGACGATGACAGGAGCGAGACGCAGCGCCGCGAGGACGACAAAAGCGACGGCGGGGAGGATGAGGACAACGACAATGATGGTAAGGAAGGGCAAGGTAGTTCCGAGACTGCTAGTACTTGTGACAAGCAGGAGACCACGACGGAAGCAGCGTCGAAGGCAAAGGATGAGGATGACGAGATGCAGGGCGGAAGTGACGAACGCGCGGCTGAGACAGAAGCAAAGGAGGAACAAGAGATGGACGAGTAGAGCAGCGCAACGGACGCCGGAATGGAGGAGCGGATGCAGGATGGAAACGATACCCGACCGAGTAACGATGCTTTATTCAGGGATTGCAACAGCGGCTGGACTTGGTTTTGTGCAGGCGTGAGTCTGGTTGCTGCTGTTACTGCGGTCGGCGGTCTCTTTATCCTGTGCCTTTGTGTAGGCCTCCAATCCCTCTGTTCTTGTTAGTTCACTGCTCGAGACCATTTGCATTGTGACTTGATTTTTCTTCATTTTGGTTCGATTGGCGGCGGCGGGACTTTGGACTGGCCGTGTGTGACGTCGTTGGAAGCAGCGGCGGCATCTGAGACTCGGACGGACTGGCAGGGACAGCGATAGTGCGAAGGATGGCGGCGGCGGCGATGGTTTTGGACGATGATAACGAGGAAGCAAGGCTGGGAGCTATTCGACTGGAGTGCGAGTTGTCGTACTGCTAGAGCTTGATGCTCCCGTAGCTGGTTGAGCTGTAGGAAGATCAAATTGAGTTTCGTACGCATGCAAACGCTGCTTCATTTTCGTGATTTAACGACGTGTCTCCTTGATCACTCGCTATCTCCTCGACACCTTTTGCAAAGCAGAATCTCTCCGACGACATCAAGCGTATCGTCTATGGGAGTTGCACCAGCATCCATCAATCCGTTTTTCTGCTGCTCGGAGACTATTTGACTCATGGTATCAGGGGAGTATGCGGCATACCGGTTAGGCGTGTTCTTCACGGAACCGAATTCAACTCCAATCGAATGATCTTCTGAGGTGGACCCTCCATCAGGGATTTTAAACGCGCCTCTAACCCTTCACCGCTGTATGATACCAATGGTGAAATCTCGATGTACTCAGATTTGTCCAACACCTCACGCACAAACCTATCGGCCTCGGTGGCAGGTAGAGTTTTGGTAGCCGCTGCGAATAGCCATTCTTTTCCTTCATTGTGCATCATTTGACGCGCGCTGTCAGGCGAATCAATGGGGTTTCCTGGAGGATTCTTAACCGGCGCGAACTCCGTCTCTCGAGGTGCTGAAAGAACCGCCATTCGTGATGATAACGGGAAGACATCAAAGATGAAAGATTCCAGCTTGATGCCCGAGTTGCTCGTAGGTATATACGTTGCTCCGGTATCGTCAGCCATCGGAACTTTCTTGTAAGCCACGTGGTACTCAGAATTCGACGCTGGGAGCACCATGCGCACCAAGAAATCACTACACATACATACTGATGTTAGATATTGCAACGCTTATACCACGCATGAAACGAGAGACGTACATCGTGAAGAAGTGATTGCAAATGTTGGCTGCTCCGAATACCAACTTGCCTGTGTCAGAATCCACACGCTCAGACATTTCACGGTCGATCTCCGAGTACTCAACGACACAGAACCGATCGTTTCTTTTTGCTAGGACACCGACGCAGTCATCAGGTCGCGTCTTCCAAACCACTTTGTTACCGCAATCTGCTCGCTTATCAATGCAGTACCCAATAAAAGTCGGGTCGGCTGCCTTGCACAATGCATTATCCACAGAGAAGACATGCAAGTACTTCACACCGCGCGTTTGCAGCTGAGCAAGCGCTTTACTCGACTCGAGCGCTTTGTACACGCCACCATTACCGTCTGACGCTGTCGCCAGCTTGTGCGCATTCTCCAGAATCAGCTTTCCATCCGTCGTAAAGCACGGCAAAGTACCTTGTGGAAAGAAAAACATCTGCGACTCGTTTAGTCCAAAAAAGTCATGCTTCCGAAAGAACTCGACCGTCGTGTCGTGATTCATCTGGCTGGTCATCACGAGGAATGGAATCTCGATCTCACTTCGAAGACGTGCCGGGAACTGCTCTGCTGCTAGATGTTCCAGAGCCAAAAGCCTCTCAGCGAACAACTGGAAGAGACTCTTCTTCGACGGTAGACCGATGTCGTACATGCCTTTAGCACCTGCAAAGCCAAGTCGAGTACCTTGACCGCCACTCAGCACCAAAGCACACACTTGTCCTTGACTGATTGCTTCAAAGCCAAGATTTTTCCATCGTTGCTTGTCTTCAGCCGAACATTGTTCCAACAGGTCGTAATCCTCTAGAGGCTCGATGCTTCCCTTGTCAACTACCTTTGCTTGCACCGAGTCTTGGAACATGTGTTGCAGTCGCTCTAAATCGAGCCCTTCAAGCTTCGAATATCATTTCAACATGATGTTACTAGATTTAACGCTACACTTCTACTTTGTATGCTCACAACAACGTACCTCCTTCGACAGCTTCTGCGCCTCAAGAGCCGAAAGTTGGCCAGCGTCATCGAACTATAGATCCAATGCAAGAAGCCTCACTTAGCTAAACATTTGTCAAGGCAATATGGGACGCATGACATGATATGTGGAGAGGCATGCCTTGAGCACATGGCCTTGGCCAGCCGCACGCAGCTTGCGTGCCAATTCTTCCGAGATATGTGGCATGACGATTGTATTGGAATGATAATGTGATTTTCGCGTGGGAATATCCATCGCTTGATATTGATCGGATATTTCGTTTTATCCTGAATTGGTCTTTAGCAGTCGTTATATGAGAGCCTGCCTTAGCTGATAATCGTGGATCCGATCCTGACTTCCAACCTCTCCGAACAGCTAATTGTATCCGGTCTAGACATCAGACCATTGTAGAACTGAATGGACGGCTGGGACGTGTTCGTTAGCTTTGTGTCGGGTGTCGCAGCTTTTGTATACTTTTTTGGCCCGTCATATGTGCTGCATAGACTGATGTAAACAGCTCTTGATCACATCGAAAAAGTGATCTTGCCAGCTTTCCATTCGGACCTAAATTGAATGAAGCAACCACGAACCTGGCGGTTTCGTAAATACAGCGGTTAAATGAGAGCAGCAAACACAACGTGCTAGTCGGTCCAAGTCAACTGGATGTGGGGCATGGACTGATCATGTGCACTGGTGCGGGTCTGTCGACGTAGCTGGTCACTGATTAGAATCATAGGAAAAGGCACAAAACGTCGGCTGTCGCCAAGTAAGTTCAACGGCTAGATCTCTGATCAAGCTAATCACAGAAGCTGGGCAACAAATTTTTGAAGCACACTACTTTGCGCTTAGTTGTGTATGGAAGACTTTTAGCTGCTACAGTGCCTCGAACTTTGGATTACTGATGAGTATTGGACCATACACTTGCAAAGCTTCAATGTACAAGTTCGTTCGTCAGATCTACCGAGCATTGGCACAGCCGAGCTTTTCTCCCACGTACCGAACAGAAGTCCGACATAACGACCACATTCGTCTCAACTCGCTACCAACTCTTATGGCTGACACGTCCACCGGAAGTGGCTGACGATTGTGCAAGTTGAAACGTCAGTTAGCACCTATCCGACCCTTGACAAGCAAAGGGTCGCTTACCTCATTGTACTCGTCAGCAAATGTGTTTGACAGTGCTCGTGGAATTACAATTCCGATCGAGCGATTCGCAATCTACCACAAATGTAGATTCAACGAGCCCAGTCAGACCAGCATTGCCAAAATACTGATCCCAATGAGTGCACGTTTGCGTGGCATTCGCTTACTCTTGCACCAATTTCACGAGACGGAGCTTAGTGATTCTGCTCTGCTCCGCTGCAGCTACAGCAAGCTCGTCTTCAGGGCTGTTGCCCATGCGAGACTCCAGAATATGGAGCATCTCGAGGGCAGTTTTTCCAGTCGCACACACAATGTAGGTGTATCTGTGACAACACCGACACCAAGTCAGAGTAACGATGGGAAAGCCGCAACCGCTGAAAGACGTACCCGAACGTGTCGTAGTACGCATCATTCAGTTCCTCAAAGCGATCAAGTACCGCATCATCTGCATCCTTCGTTGCCTAAGTCATTCAAATTCTCATGTGTCAACATTATGACAGCCACAGTAGTTTCGAAATAGCGACCATTAATGTGAGAGGCACAAGACCAAACCTTTTGCTCCTGAGCTTCCCACGCCTTGATGGGCTGTTTCGCTCTCCCAATCTGATATCTCAACATAAAGAGCTAGCGTCAATCCCTTTACGTCATCAAAATCAACGGCCTTCCCAGGTACAATAATCGATCATCAACCAGGAAACGAGCCTTTGGGTGTGCTGCAAACGCTTCGAGCCAATCGTCTCGTGTCAATGTGGCGTCCGCCGCATCGGCTGCTTGGTAGAGTTCGTCAACACCTCGAACAGGAAATTTCGTCAGCATTTCTGCCACCCACTTCCTGGCGCCACAGCATTGTAATAACTTCTGGCTAAAACGTGACGACTGGTTTCCGGCTTTGAAGGCAGCTGCAGCGTCGTTCAGAATCGAGAGGTCCATAGCGCCGTATACCAACAGACAAGTGCTTATGATCAGATGGTCAAGTGTATCCGATTTGCCAGGGAAATGCGAACATATCATCATTTCTCGATTCCCGAAGACAATAGTTGGTTGCGTGCTGCTTGAAACAAAATGATTATGAGGCGATTATGATATCGCCTCTGATCAGTGGCAACAGCGTTTGGTGAAAAATGTGTGTGGGGCGACATCGTTAGTACACAGTCCGCCGAGTCTCGTGATCTTGGCGACCTTAATAAGTTGAAAGGATGCCTCGTACCATAATAGCGGCCACCATGATGAAGTCACTGTGCTGTAACGTCTCGTTTGTGTTTACGCATGGTACTAAACCCGTGTCACATTCAGTTTGCATCGCTTTGCGATCTGTAACTACGTAAGAGACATCGGTGTGTTGTGCTTTGCTTTACGACAGTGTGGAAATAAAGTACGGCTCGAGACGCTGCTAGCGGCATTTAAATTTTTTATTGATTTGTCAAGTTCCATGTCATGTCCTTCACGACCAACTCCATTCGCTGCAGTCGCGTTCAGAACGTCTGAGGAATCTGTGCTAACTAGAACATGGTGCAACAGTGTTAGATACATCATATCTAACATGTTTAAGCTGGGATTTAGCGTATACGATAAGAGTCGAGCTTGTAATTGCCCAGCTGTAGTTTAACGGGGTAGCCCGTTACATGGTAATGACACCAAACGGTGTCATTAGGGAGATTGTCTAGCGTGACTATTCCCTGCCAATTTTACCCGAGATGGGTAATATTGGAGGATTAGTATCCCCTTTGTAGGATAATATTCATGCGCTGCTCAAAGATGGGTTGATAAAAGACATATCAACCAAGGATTGCCACCAATCGCTGCTAGACGCGCGTAATGAGTGGTGAGCAGGTTGTCGTCATGCGACGGTGTAGTTTAATATCGTTAAGTAAAGATTGAAGTTATGCTGATAGCTTAACTATATTAAATACAGTTCTCTTTTTACTCTTTACTTGACCGAGTCGTTCAAGTAAATTAGCTTCCTCTGCACGTACTAGTGTACGTGAAGTTTCGCGGCACCCCAAACAAAGGGTGCCCCGTTACACCTGCTAGCACTTTGTAGTCCGTCCAACGAATACTTAGTGTCCGTCCAACATGAACATGTTAAACGTAGAAGACTACAGCTTTCACGTCACACGTGAAGGATACTCCCATCTGAGTGACTCAGGATGGGAGATAGTCGGCTGCATGAGTCTGCTCATGGTCAAACCCGCCATCAGTGGCATGTTGGAGTCTCTAAACAGAGACCAGCAACATACTGCTATCAACAAGCTCCTAAAAGGGGAACTTGTTGTCGAAATACGGAAGATAGCCTTGCTACAACAGAAAGGCTTTCATCAGCCGATGGGCGGGCCGACGCACATGCGTCGACCCGAAACCTCGAAGCTAGATATCTCAAGGTACAGGAGAACCGATGAAGATTCCCTTTTGAGATGGTTCGTCGAGTTAGACGACGCCATAAGGGCCCGTCAAATCGAGGATGACGAGATGCTAGTCACCTTCTCCCTGTCAAACTTGACAGGACGAGCAAAGACTTGGGCCTTAGGGCTCAAGCTTCACGATCCAAACGTGTTTGAGCTGTTAGAGATCATAAGGTCTCAGCTCAAAGAAACGTTTGAGCCACCACGGGCCAAGTTCAGAGCACGCTCTGCACTCCTAAGGCTCAAGCAAGGTAAGCGTGATGTGCACGATTACGCACAACACCTACGCTACTTTGCGAGTAGCGCCGCGAAAACCCCTGTTGATGAGCACACGCTCATAAACGTGTTCATCCACGGCCTTACAGACGGACCGGTGAAGACCTACATGTTCCGAGAGGACTTCCATACTCTGGAAAAGGCGATAGCGTATGCGGAACAAGAGGACTTCAGCCTGAGACAGTCTCAGGCTACCTCGTCAAACTATCGATCGACGAGACGACAGAAAAATGGAGGCCCCGGTTCTTTGAACCTCTGTTATATCGAGAGCGAGAACTCTCGCTCTCTGAGTCACAAGCAGACGGCGAGATGCCATCGCTATCAGAAGATTGGGTACTACGCTCGTTAGTGTAGTGTCCCAAGCACCGCATCACGTCCAAAGACAGGACGTGATGACCGCCGTTAGCCTAGAAAAGGTCCACGGCGCGGGTCCGACCCTGTCACTAAACCGCAACAGCAAGTTGGACCCCAAAAAAACCGAAAGGGTTAGTAGGGGCGGAGCACTCTGCTGATCCAGCAACGTCAAGACAAAATGCAGGACTCTTGACGAAGATTGCTCCCAGCACACAGTCGCTTTGTGTTACTGCCCCTAGTGATGAGGTGTCCCTCATCACTTTGAAGATCGAAGTGATAAGTGGAATGTCACTTTGCGCCCTAGTTGACTGTGGGGCGTAGAACGTTTTATTCGACGTCAGTCGTTGGGGATAGTAGGCTCAACTATGCTGAGCGAGAGTTCCCTCCAACGAGAATGAAGGTGTGCCTAGCAACAGGCGCATCCGTAACAGTGGACAAACGTGTAATGTGAATCCACTACACGCTAGGAGAAAGGCAGTACGATGACGTCTTCTTTGTACTGAATTAGGATGACAAATTTGATGTCATCCTCGGTCTGCCATGGCTTAGAAAGTACTAGCAATGGGTTAGCTGGCAGCACAGATCCGTGAAGATGCCTGTCGTTGGTTCATCAAATGGCCATCTGATGAAAGTCTTGGAGCGTCTACAAGCGTGTGGATGTACTACGAGTGATCGCGATGGCCTCACTTGTGGTGCGGTCGTTAGTATGACTTCATAAGATCAAATTGTAGAAGGCCACTACACTGTCGAACCAGATTCCGGCACCTGTGTAGAGACATAGGCTGCGCCGAAGGTTCACCACTCGAAAAGATCGAGTGGAATGGAACACGGATGCACACCAAGAAGGGTGCAGCCAAAAGAGAAATGATTGCTGTTCAGGATGAACAGCGCGTTACAGCGAGATCGACTTACAGAGATTCGATCGCAAAGCAAACACGATCGGCTAAAAGAGAATCGACCGAAGAGGACATGACTGTGGTAGTTCATCCACAGTCAGTACACGTATTGGAAGAAAGTTCCAGCGTTCCTAGGAGTGAAACTCCTGAGAGAGTTATGTGGAGGGTGTAGATCCCCAACCATCTGCGGATTTTTTTCCAGGAAATCACCGAGACAGTGAATGTCTTAGTGAATGAAGGAGAAGTGAAGGCACTTAGACACTTGGTCTGGTAACACCTCCGAAGTCAGCTTCGGAGTTAATTAAGTTGCCGACACTAGAATCTAAAAGATTCTTGCGGGATCTGCGTAGTGACAAGATTAAGCAGATCTGCGTACTCGTTACAGAGGAATAGTACGTCATCGATATACGGTCGGCACAAGTGTTTACTGAGAAAGAAAGGGTTTTCAAAAGCTCATCGATTGACGAGAGTGTCCTCGATGAGAAGACCCGGATTAAGCGGTTTACGTCTTAAGCTTGGGAGTAGCTCCAGGCAAATCCTTTGTATTAGGATTTGTTCGAATTTATGGATGTCCTCCCTGAATCTGTGCCATGCGAGTTTCCTAAGGGTAAAAGGCACTCGGCATGAGATCGAGCTGAAATCCGGTTCGAAGTACTGTGTCATGAAGCAGTGGGCACTTCCTCGTGAAAAGATCACAGCGATCAACAAATTCTTTGCCGATCGTTTAGCGGCTGGTCATGTGAGGGAATCAACACCCCCACACAGCTCTCCGACCTTCCGTATGCGAAAGACTAAAGGAGGGTGGTGAATAGTGCACGCGTTCAACAAATTGAGCGCTGCGACGGTACCGGCTCAAACGCCGATCCCAAGAAAGGATGTCGTCGTAGATGGTATGCCAAAGAGTACCATCTTTTCATCCATGGATCTGATGGATGGATTCTATAAGATCCTCATGCGTGAACGGGAAATCCCGTATACAGCAGTGAGCACCCCCAGTGGTATGCTCTGGGAGTGGCTAGTGATGCGACAGGGGCTAAGTAGCGCCCCTATAGCATTCAACAGATGTGTTACAAATCTATTGCGATCGGTGCGAGATTTCGCACCGAGTTACTTTGACGACGTCTTCGTCCATAGCCGGTCCACGGATGGAAAGACGTACGTGGAGGTTCAAAGAATCTACGTCCGGAAGATTCTTACACTTATGCGAGAGCATAAGTCGTTCGCGAACCTCAAGAAGTGTATCGTCTCAGCGAACGAAATACCACTTTTTGGCTGAGTCACGGGTAAGACGGCGTACTCCCTGATCTGGAAAAGATCAAAGCGATTAGCAACTGGCCTGTGCCAGTAGACGTCAAGGGACTTCGAAAGTTCCTTGGCTTGGCGGCGTACTTTGCACAAGTACTCGCGCAACAACGCCAAGATAACTGTTCATCTCTCTCGTCGTATAAAGAAACGAGAAATGGTCATTGAGTGCTGAGTGTCAGCACTCGAATGAAGGCATCAAGAAAAGCTTGGTGCAATCGCCTGTTTGGCGATTGCAGACCAGGACAGACTATTTCATGTGGTCTGTGACGCCAGCGATTTTGCAATCGGTTGCGCGTTAATGCAGTACGACTCGGACAGCGTTTAGCGCGTCGTCTGTTACCAATCGCGTCAGTTGCAAGCACCTGAGTGTAAAAAACCAGTGCATGACAAGGAACTACTTGCCATGAAATATACACTGCTAAGTTTCGGGTAGATATTTTAGGAGATAGGCCCTTCATCGTTTATACCGACCATGCGTCGTTACGCACGGCCGGTAAACAATCCACACCTCTTACAACGAATGGCGAGGTGGCTGTATTTTTTCGCAGAGTACAGCTTCTTCTCCATCGAGTAATAACCAGGACGGCTTAAAGTCGTCGCTGACGCTCTTTCTCGTAGGCCCGATTTCGATCCGACTGCTCAACACAACAGTAGGGGTGATTCCAATGTTGCAGCACTATTAGTGAGCGTTACGTCGTCGAACCTGCTCGACAACGTGCGGAAAGCAAACGCAGAATATGATTCTCTTCTGCGATTGATGGATTTAGTGTCAAATCCGTGCAGTCAAGCTTTGAAAAGCTTGTCGTCTCAAGTCCGCTCTTCACCCGAACGGTATTCAGTTCGTGATGGACTTTTGTGCTTTACAGCAGTCAACGGCGTCACACCCCGTGTCGTCGTTCCCGCTCATGATGATTTGCGATTGCGCGTCATGTAGAAGAGTCACGATGCCCCAACAAGGGGCATCACAGTAGAAAATCTTACCTCACGGTAAGTAGTGACTTCTCCTGGCCTCGCCAGTACGAGTTTGTGCGCAAACACATTCGCGCTTGAAAAATTTGCCAACGGGTGAAGCCTAGTCCTTCATATCGTGCACCCTTGCAGCCTCTACCGATTACAGCAGAGGTCTGGCAGTCCGTACCAATGGACTTCGCCTTTGGGTTTCCCAAACCCAAAACGATGCTCACACGAACACTGGTATTCTTGTGTTCTTGATCGGTTCAGCGAGATGGAACATCTCGTTGCTGTACCCGAGTCAATCATAGCCCAGTGATGTGCTCGTGTCTTCATCGATACTATCATCCAAATTTCACGGGTTACCCCGTGAAATTGTGTCTGATAGTGACCCCCGCTTCACAGCGAAGTTCTGGCAATCCTCATTCCGTTCACTTGGAACACGTTTGAGGTTGTCAACTTCTGACCATCCATAAACAGATAGTCCGACGGAACGCGTCAACCGCGTCCTCGAAAGAATATTTTTAGGGTACGTACACTCGTTCAAGAGCTGGAGTGAGTTCTTGCAGATGGCGGAATTTGCCATCAACAACTTGGTTCATGCGTCGACAGCGCATACACCGTTCTTAGTGAATGGCCTAAGCCATTCACGTTTACCCGCCTTCTTAAAGTGTTACTATAGTTTAAGGGGGGCGGAGTCGCTCTAACAAAACCGGTCAAGTTCTTGCTTATCACACGTCGACACCATTGTCGACGTGATGGATGCCGGTTTCGATCACATCGACATCGATAATGATAGTGATGGTGACAACGATGCTCATATATTCAGCATCGCCAACGACTGCCACAGTGAGAAAGATGAAGCCTTCACTGATGGAGACAACGTTCTTTTAGCAGTGCACACGAAGCGCACTTGTAACGGGGCTAGAACAACCCGTACTTAGCTTACACTATTTCTACCGCTTTGAGAAAGCGTCAAAGCCCAAGTCTTAAGTGTAAAGTATTTTTAACTCGGTTTTAACGTTTTGTCTTTTAGTCATCCTAAGTACGAATGGTTCCCTTGGACTCATGGGAACCACTCAATCTACGTCCCTACACCTTATGGCTAATAATGGGACTGAGCCCATAAATCCAGCTAAAATATACGACATGCTACTTTCGCTACCTCGAAGTAGCACCCCTACTTAAGTAATATGTTAGCTTGATGAAACTACTTATGTAACTGGGTGGCCCATTACAGCACTACTGTTTACAAGGATAAGTCAGCAGAGGAATTTATGCTGACTCTCAAGGCGGTTGTCTGCTTTGTTCGAAAATCTATTGCAGATACAATAGATGGAAATAGAAAAGAAACACAGACATACATGGAACCGCAAATGCTCTTACACTTAAAGAAGTAGACTTAGTTTTAATGTCAACAGTAAACCTACCAAGACACGCAGTGACAAAAGTGGGCATCAGCAAACTACTGCCCAAGTATATCGGTCCATGTCGTGTATTGCGCTGCACTGGCAACGCATACACGATTGAACTGCCTCATAGGATGCGCACGCATCCTACATTTTACGTTGGACGTCTTCGCCCTTACTATAGTAATAGCCTGTTTCTAGAGGCGAAGAACACCTCCGCGGTCAAGGGCCAAGACCGCCTTAGAATGGTCCCGTTTCAACTAGCCAGTCTGGTCGACTAGCGAATCGACCTGCTCACGCAGTTGAGCGAAGTCCTGACGAGATGCAGTCAGCTCGTCACGAAGAGAACGAATTGAACGTTTGTTCTCAAGTTGCGCAAGCGCAAACGCCGCATGATCGTTCGAACGATCGTACGCGAAGGAATTGTATTAATC